TTTGCTAGTCAAGCCCCTCTAGTGTCTTGAGCCATGCCACCACTCCTGGTTTGTAATCAAACTGCTTGGCAAAGATAGTTTATTGTTAGTTAGTTATTAAGCCACTTCAGAATTTGCTGTTTGAACGTTTTGATTTTTATTTTCCCAAAGTAAAAGTAAACTGTTTTACTTTGTGTCTCAATGATAATTCCTTCAGTTTTTAAATTCCAAGATAGATTAAAATCTATCAGATGGGTCAACTTCTGAAAATAAGCCCATTTTTCTTTTGCAAAGTCAGAACTAAGAGTTATATGTTCTTGGACTGTAGTGACTTGGAAAAGAGAAAAGGTCATTATAGTAAGATATTTTAATTGTCTTTTTTTTTTTGCTTGTTTTTTTGTTTCCTGTGCCCTTAGTCCCCTAAACCCACCCCCTGTATCACTAGAATAATCAAGACCCCAGATATAGGTCATACTTAGGGCTATATGAGTTACATAAATGAATTATAATATTCATTGCGGTGAAATAGTACAAGTAAAATGGCAAAGAAAATACCAGTTAAGGAAAAAGAGCAAGTAAAGAGATAACCCAGTAGCCACTTTCATAGGCCAGAACTAATTTAGGAAATTACATCTAAAGATAGAGGTCTAGAAATCATTCTCTTAAAACAATTTAAAGTCTCATGAGTAAATTCTTGTTTCCTGTCAGTTGAACTTCATTGTTAGGCGGTTTTAATAAAGAACTTGGTAAAATTTTGAAATCTGACTCTGGCACATCCAACTTTTACTGCTACTGGCAAAGGTCTTAATCTTTCTTGCTTTTTGTTTTCTTGCTTTCAGTGGTGGCCTGGCACTTTTAAATATGTGTCCCTGTATGAATGAGTTTGTACTGGTTGATCTTTTTGCCTGTTAATTAAATGGCAAAGGACCTTGTAGGACCAATTTTTTTGACAGACAAGATAGGGAAGAACAAAAATTTTGGCCATTTAGTAAAGGTGAAAATATGACTTGACGTGAATAATCTGTAAGCATGAGCTATCGGTATAAAGAGTGAAGGGAAGAGTAGCTTAGCCACCATTTCCCATTTTCTCTTTAAGAGAAATGAACACATGATAAGACTTTCAGTAATGGTGTGTGATGCTGCTACAATTTTTGAATCCCTCTTTCAGAAGATTATATTTAATCTAGAAATCCAGTTTGAATTTCGTGTGTAATGGTTTGTTGTGTTTGGAATATAATTAATATCCAAATTAAATACACATGTCTGGACTTCTTTTTTTTCCAAGGAGTTTTTAAGAGAATATCTTCAATCTCCTGTTTTTTGTTGCCCAGTCTCAAAAGATAGCAGCAGCCAAAGTGGCAAATCACATTCTGAGAGCTGCTGCCTTATGATTTGTTTAGTAGAGATGGTGAGGGATCTGTTGAGAATACAGACTACTACACAACTGGGTTATGGCCACACATGCAGTGTTAAGTATCTTTCTTTTCCTTTCCTTTTTATAACAGGATCCAGAAAGGAAATTTTAGGAGGGCATTGTTTTAAGAATTCACTCTTAATACACTTTACACCTTAAACGTTGTTAGTGGGATATTCAGTTAAAAGTAACATTGTTTTTAGTTTTTAAAAATGTGAAAACCATTTTTATAGATATCCTGAGTGCTTTGTGTTTTTTTTTAATAAAATAATTTAAAACCAAGTAAAATCAAGTTTTAACAGTTGCTTGAATTTTTAGACGATATTCTTACCTAATTTCAAAAGTTACCATATGTAATGTTCTGTAGGTATTACCTAGGTAGCTAGTGGAGGTAGTTAACTAAAGCATAATATGTTATGCTTAATAGTTTGTTGGGGATTTTTCGCCTCCCTCTTTCTTCAGCAGCCCATGCACCTTACAAGTGGGACTACTGGCCTCATGAGGATGTTCGTGCAGAATGTAGATTTGTTGGCCTGACTAACCTTGGAGCTACTTGTTACTTGGCTTCCACTATTCAGCAACTTTATATGATTCCTGAGGCAAGACAGGCTGTCTTCACTGCTAAGGTAGAGATTCCTCTCTTTAAAAATTAAAAGTGAAACCAAATGTTAAAATTTTTGCTTATAAATCTTAATCTAAAATACTGTTTGAGAAAGGGATATATGCATAAAGAATGAGAAAATTTCATTATATAAATAGCTAGTGTGCATATTTTGTTTTTACACCGAGACTATACATAATGTTGTATGACTTTTTCTCGTTTGTGTATTTAGTGATGCTGGGGATTGAACCCCAGGACTTGTGCATGCTAAGCAAGCCCTATACCACTTGAGCTATGCCTCTAGTCCTAATTAATTTCTCAAATGAAAATATGGTAGTGGGTTACACACTTAGTAATACAGTGAACATTATATTTTTAATAAAAATAAGTATAAATTTGAGTTATATAGAAAATAAGTAAAACCTGACACTAAGTAGGGCAATATTATCAGAATCACTGAGTTTTTTTCTTTTACACTTATCCGCAAATTAAATGAGTTTTGTGGGTCCTGTTGATAGCAAATTCTGCTTCAGGTTGTTTTTGTTTAGTTGTTCCTTCTAGTTTCCTTCCATTCTTTCTCCCATCTTCCCTCCTTCCCCCTATGGATCATTTTTTACTTCGATGTCTGCTCTGCTTTTATAATTTCTTGTCAAATACTGTTTTGTTTTGTTTTTTTCATCATGTTCATCTTTCCTTTTCTCACTTTTCTCTAATAAAGTCTAGCGTCCTTTAATATGTCTAACTTACTCGTGAAGGTCTCCAGTTTACAGAACACCCAAGTGGGTTTAGGTTTTTGGTTTTAGTTATATTAATATTTCTACGTTTATCATCTCTGTGAATTAGTTACAACTAAAAGGAGTTCAAATAATGGGCTAATTTAGCAAATAGAAAAGTTTGTAACTAAAAATGATGGACCCAGCTGGGTGCTGGTGGCTCATGCCTATAATCTTAGCTACTCAGGAGGGCAGAGATCAGGAGGATTGTGGTTCACAGCCACCCCCGGCAAATAGTCTGCGAGACTATCTCAGAAATACCCATCATATGGTATCTATACACAATGGAATTTTATGCAGCCATGAAGAAGAACAAAATGTTATCATTTGCTGGTAAAAGGATGGAATTGGAGAACATCATTCTGAGTGAGGTTAGCCTGGCCCAAAAGACCAAAAATTGTATGTTCTCCCTCATATGTGAACATTAGATCAAGGGCAAACACAACAATGGGGATGGACTTGAGCACATGATAAAAGCGAGAGCACACAAGGGAGGGTGAGGATAGGTAAGACACCTAAAAAAGCTAGCATTTGTTGCCCTTAACGCAGAGAAACTAAAGCAGATACCTTAAAGCAACTGAGGCCAATAGAAAAGGGGACCAGGAACTAGAGAAAAGGTTAGATCAAAAAGAATTAACCTAGAAGGTAACACCCACGCACAGGAAATCAATGTGAGTCAACTGCCCTGTATAGCTATCCTTATCTCAACCAGCAAAAACCCTTGTTCCTTCCTATTATTGCTTATACTCTCTCTACAACAAAATTAGAATAAGGGCAAAATAGTTTCTGCTGGGTATTGAGGGGGTGGGGGAGAGGGAGGGGGGAGTGGGTGGTAAGGGAGGGGTGGGGGCAGGGGGGGAGAAATGACCCAAGCCTTGTATGCACATATGAATAATCAAAAAAAAAAAAAAGAAAACACCCATTCATAAAAAAGGGCTGGCAAGTGGCAAAAAAAAAACAAAAAAACCCAACAGAGGACCCATGTTCATAAGGGTTTTTTCTTTCTGTTTTGTTATTAGGTGCTGGGGCTTTGAACTGAGAGCCTCACACTTAACTCTAGGTAAAGGTTGCTCTACTGTTGACCTATGCCTCCCAGTCTCCATCTGAATAACTTCAATAAAACCAGTAGTTAACAAAGAAGATAATTAATTTGATGGCTTTTCATTTAGCTGTAAAATGGCATAGTTCTGGTGCCTCTTGTTATCTTAATGATTAATTTTCAGCTTTAGCATTCCTAAGGAGACTGGATTTGTGAATCAAGTGGTAGAGTGCTGCTTTGCACCCGTGAGTTCAAATCCCAGTTTACACAAAAAACCCCAAACAAACAGAGCATTCTAGCAAATTAGTAGCAAACCAGAAAAGAACACTTACATATGCTCATTTTGAGTATTTTCTTAAGTGGTTATTTTTGGTTAAAGACGGTTCAAATTATCAACCCCCTTTTAAAAACGTTCAAATATAAAGAAAAAAAAGAAAAAAAAAATTTTTACATTTGTACTCATTTGTAAAGTGTAGGGCATACATATATTTACTTATATTACTATGCTGGGGATCAAATCCAGGACCTTGTGTATGCTGGGCTAGTATATTTCTAAGCTATACCCCCAGCCCTACATAGAAAGTTCGTATTCAATACAGTCGACAGTATACTTCCTTAGAAAGTTTGATGCTTTAATGAGAACTTCAGGTATTTTTATTACCTTTTTGATGTTCATAGATTATAAGCTTAACAATGTATTTTAGTTTTTTTATAAAATACGACAACACAAAATGCATAGTTTTAATTATTTTTAAGTATGTATTTGTGTGGCATTGATACATACACACTGTATATTATAACAGGTTCAGAGTGAACTGAACCTCTGCATGCATTAAACCCTTGACTTCCCATTACCTGTTCTCACAGCCCCTTATAGTCACCATTCTACTTTCCTCCTTTGAATTCAACTCCAGGGATCTCATAAAAACAGAGCAATAAAATATTAGTTCTTTTATGAACCAGGCGTGAGTGGCTTTATTTCCTTTATCCATAATGCCTTTAATATTTACTTGTATCATAGCATGTGTTAGAATTTCCTTTCTTCTTATGGCTGAGTAATAGCACATATATGTGATATATTTTGTTTGTTCATCTTTTGAAAGACACATGGGTTTCTCCCACCTTTTGGCTCTTCTGAATAATCCTTTTATGAACATCTGTATATAATCTCTTGTTGATCTCTGCTTTCACGTTTTTTTGGGCATACTACCCATAAAGTGGTGTGGTTGGAATCACAGCAGTAAATTTTCTGTTTAATTTTTTGAGGAATCACATACCTTTTTCATGATGGGCTTGCACCCAGTTATGTTTCCACTTACTGTGTATAAGGTTTTCCAATTTTTTATATACTTGTCTAACACTCATTCATTTCTGGGTTTTAATTTGCAATAAATACCTTATCCTATGGGCATAAACATTGTCTTTAAGTACTAAATACATAATAATTGTAGGATATTTTAAAATTGCACCTTGAATAAAATTTCCTTGTTTTTTGACACTAAATGTTCAATTAGGCCATTTTTGTCTTTAGATCCACTATGCTTTATTCTGTAGTAATAGAAATATAGTCCTAGGACTTTGTTTCTGAATGCTTTGTTTTTGTTTTCTTTGTTAGCAAATGCATATATGGACCTTTTATGCTGTCTCTTCCTGTTACTATTCTCATCATCTCATAAAATATTAAGCCTCTCATCGTTATAGTATAGGAATATAATCTTGTCTGGTTATTTTTGCCCATCTATTGATTTCCTCTATTCAGTTACAGTTTGTGCTAATCATTTAATTTTGTGGTCTATGCTGTATAGATCTTAGTTTTTGTTACCTCATATTAAATAAGTTCCTGAAACAGAAAGCATGTTCCTGCTATTTCTCCCAAAGACTGAAACCACAATAACTGGTGTATACTCCCAGCCTCTGGGTGGCTTAATATTCCATGCATACTGCTCACATTTATTATGACAACGGTGGTAATTTGTATGGTGGTGGATGCTTTAAACATAGGTTGAGTTTAGTATGTGAATTAGAATAGCGTTTATCTGGTAAGAGTCCTGGCATGTTATATGGATCTCTCCTGTAAGGCTTGCTGTTTTAGGCTAAGTTTCTATGTGTGTTAGCCAGTTATCCTCATCTTGGTTATTAGTATTTTGCAATTTAGACAGTTTTTCAAAGATCTTGGCTGGTATTTCTTTTTTTATTGTTAAGTATATTCTACTCTACAGGAAAGTAAAAAATGTGATTATATGATGGTGAAAGTATCATTATTAATGTCTCTGTATTTTTTAATGTATGAGTCTACTTATAGAGGAATTTATTGCCCCACTTGAAATATTTTTCATTCTTGTAAGTCATTGTACCAAATGAGTGTTGAACTAAAAAGCAGTTTTCAAAAGATTCCCTATTCAGTTTCTTAACTAAAGGTGATGCTGGGTGTGCACTGTATTTATTGAAACTGAAGAAACTTACTAATTTTTAGTATATAATTTCTGAAGAAAAATAAAATAATTAAAGGTGGTTATCCTACATTCAGTAAAGGATGAAAGAACAGAATGTCGTGTTGAGCACATTGAAAGAATTTTGTTTGCTAGCCTGTCTAGTTACTACTAGTATGTTTTGATGGAAAATTTTCTCTTGATTTTCCAGTATTCAGAAGATATGAAAAGCACAAACCGACTCTTTTGGAGCTTTCAGACATGTTTACATATTTAATGGTATGTTTGAGAATCATGGGGAGAAAATAATTACATTTAATCTTTTGAAAGGTCTAAAATGGTCACATGGAATTTGTACTGCTTCACAAGTCTTTGCATACTCTAAGTTTTTTTCCATTGAATTTTTTTAGTTACCTATCTTGTCATAATGGCTTTTTTTTTTTAACAGTCACATCTCAGTTATCCCTGTTAATTTGGTCATAAAGAGTTTCCTTGCATCTGATCCCTTTTCCTGTCACAGGGTACCTTCTTTAATTGCCGCAAGGTTTCTAACTTACCTTCTTTTTAATCCATCTTTAATTTCTCATCCCAAAATGGTAAAAAAGTGATAAATTTTAAGAAATCCAAAGCCTTAACAAGTGTAATCTTAAACTTTCAGTCGTTCTTTCATTATGAATAGGATGGTATTTAAGGTCATGCTGCATGACACATATCCTCTGGTATTTTATCTCTACCCTTCGTCTCCTCTCCTTTCTCTCTGGCAATATCCAGGTTTTCACACCTA